ATAGCTCTCTGTCTCATACTCTTCCTTGAGATTCTGATTCTATGTGACAGGAAAGCACTGAACAGGGAATGAGGAGTCCTAGCTCAATTCCCAGGTTTGCCACAACTCAAGGAATGACCACAGACTTAGTTTCCTTATCTACAAAATGTGGTGACTGGACTAAATGATGTTTGGGGTCTCTCCAAATTCTCAGATTCTAGGATCCAGTTGATAAGAATGATCAATGTGTTCCTGGTTATTTTATACCAAAAACACTGACCATCTAAAGGGCCAAGTGGCTGGTTGGGTTTCCCAAGAAAGTTGAAAACTGTCTTTGACATTGGGCATGTCTTCGGGTTTCTTCTTGGACCTGACAAGGAAAATGAACAGCGGGAGGCCCAGACCCTGATCATTTCTTTGTCAGGTGTCCCAAGACCTGAATATACCCTTACATCCCTCATGTAAAGCTCAGTAAATCATTATCTAGAAGTTTCTGTGCTTAGTGAGCTAGTTGAATGTCTGTCAACATCCAATGTCTGTGATAGGATGAGGAGAGGAGAAATATGAGGTCTTCTTCTCACTGCTGAATGGACGGTGATTGACTTGACCTGACTCTACTACAAAATAAAGAATCTTCTCTCTGGCTCTGTCCACATCCTTTTAAAGCCCCTTCCTTTTCTTCATCTTGCATGTTGTTCACACAGGCCACAAGGGCCAGATGATTCTCTCTTGTTTTGAATACCAGAAGGGTACGAGAAACCTAGCCCATAACTGGTTTTTACACCTACCTTTTCTGCAGCCAAGAAAGTTTTCTCTTAAATACTGAGTAAAGTGCTGGGAACAAGGTTAGCAGTTGCAGCATCAATTCTGTGAGGAGCCGTGTTCTGTCCAGAGTGGCAGGTCTAGGAAGAGGGCAGACGAGAGGGCAGATGCAGCAACCATGCTACTTGGTGTGTGGCCACACCATGGGCAGCTCTTGAGAGCTGGTTAACAATTATCTCTATGATGACTCTACACAGCTAAATGTGCATAAAAGCCCAGGGGACTGGAATGTGCATTAAGGTTTGAGAGGCCTGGATGTGAACCACCTACGCCTAGTGCTACTGGTGGTAGAGAAACAGACTCAGATGACATTCTCCCAGATCTGATGACCAGCTGCTGTTCAAGGGCTCTGGTTAACTCACGGGGCACAAATATACTCAGCACAAAATATCACTTTAGTTCCAGTCCCTTTCTATAGAAATAAAAAAAGAGTATGAAAAAAAATAAATAAATAAAGGGAAAGTAGAATTGAGGGCAGATGGTCAAATGAAATAAAGGGTTGTGAGGATTTCAGCTCTAATTAAGAACATCCACTTTGCTTCACTTACTCTACGCTTCTTACTGCATGACAAGGTCACTTACAGGAGGAGAAAAGAATACTTGATTTCACCAGTTTCTCATCTTTTATTTGAACCCCAATCACTATGTCCTTTTGGAAATAGTGGCAGATGCTTGATATATGGTCTGCTACTCAAAAGGAGAGCAGAGGCCTGGGAGACAGAAAATCTGGGTCGAACCCCTAAGTCTTTTGCTGTATGTCCGTGGTTAAGTTAGTCTTGTCATCCTTGACATGAGGGTTTACAAATACCTGATCTTTTCCTACTTAGCACAGGCAAGGTGAGATGGAAGATTTGAGAGTCAAGCAATTTATTGGAGGGAAAACAAAACAACAATGAAAAAAGAAGAGTGTTCTACATTCCTCATCCATCATTCTCCGCAGACTGGTGACATGTCTGTCAGAGGGCAGCTCTCGGTTATCTCACTGGTCATCTGAGTGAGCCCAGGGAGCCAAAGTGGGTATCTCATTCTAATTGGTAGAGTCCCTAGAGGCAATAGATCTGCCAATATCCCAAGGGAAGATGTGTCCCTGATAGTATTTCAGGAACAGTGATGGAGTACAGTATGGAAAGAGAGTGAAACATGTATTCTGTCTGTGTCTTTCAATTTTCTGTTCATAGCTAAACTCCCAAATCAGCTGTACAACATTTTCAACATCAGAAAGGTACATTGAACTCTCTTACTATATGATGAAGTCTTTGGGATTTTCAGGGTTAACAATAAATCCTGGCTATCTGTCTTCCTCCCACAGGAGCTTGAAGCATCCTTGTGAGCCTGTGGTTGAAGTCTCCTCTTGGAAGATCTTCTTTCCAAGCTCTGAGCACTTACCCTCCTCTCCCAACACGGAGTTAGTAATCTAAAAAAGCATCGGCAACAGATGCTTTAAGGAGAGAAAAGGACATCTAAATACAGAATAGTGCCTATATTGAAAAATTACAGGGAGAACAAGATTTCCCTTCCTACCCTCTAACGAGGGTTCTGTGTTGCTTTCTGAGTAGTCAAGCCCACTGTGGTGTGACTGAGGGATGGGTGGAGCTGAGAGCAGAGAACAATTTCCTTTATGGGGAATGAGAATTTTAAGACGTTTTGCTGAGTAATTCTCTGCAAGATATCAGGAAAGACTTGATTTTTTTGTACTGATATTTCTTGTATGACATCAAGCTGAGAAACGATGTTTTTTTAAAAAAGATTTAATCGTGCTATATTAAAATGAAACAACATCAGGGCTGCCTTTCCCACACACTTTCCTGTCTTCCACTTTCTTCAGATGGTATCTGGGACACCCTGGACAAAGTATTCCAGGGAAGGGATTACTGTTTTACAAGCTCTTTACTGTTTTTTTAGCTACAGATCAGAGATTTCAGTGTCTTAAAATTCCAGGAAAGGTGCTTTAATGAAAGTAAAGTCCAGACGAGTAAGAGGTTCTGGAACATTCCCTTGTCCCCAGTCCTCAAGTGGGTTTATCATGACTGGACATTTCCATGACCTTATTTGGAAAACATATCATCACATGATTAAAGAGATTTTTAAAAAAGATTTATTTATTTATGCTTACAGAATTGGAGTACAGGCCAGAGGTGTGGCGGGTGAAAGGATTCACCAGAGGCAGACTGGGGAGCAGAACAGCCAGACTGACAAAGTACACTGCCAAGGATGGCAGTGAGCGGGTCAGAAGAGGTCTGCCGCGCCATGCGGGTGAGCTCCCTGGCAAGGGATAGAACTTGTGCTGCAGTGGCTTTGGAGAGCCTCATAATGCGGTGCTTTAACCTGTCGCAACACCAGGGAGAGCCGATTAAAGAGATTTTTAAGGACACAAAATCACCAAAGGCAATTTGCTTTCTTTCAAATTTATGTGTCTAGAAGCCTTCTTGGTTTGTGGTTGAGTTATCAGATTCCAAATGCGCCTTTGTTTATGCGATGAATAATAACTACGAGATTTGCTAAGTGTAACACGTTAATTTTTTAAATTAATTCATAGTAAAATGCCCATATCTTCAATGTACAGTTTGATGAGTTTTGGCAGATAGGCACCCCCATATAATCAACATTTCTGTCACTGCCTTCTGTCGGTCATTCCCCAGCCACCACCCGTAAGTAGTCTGACCCCTTCCTGTGCGCCAGCTTTGTCTTTTCTGAGCTTCATATAGAAGGGGTCAAACCATATGTACTATTCTGTACCTATCTTCTTTTGTTCAACATCACTTTTTTTGAGATTTATTTCATTTTTAATTTTTGATTGGTATTCTACTGTATTAGTTCATCATAGGCTTTTTGTCTCTTCTCATAATGATAGATATTTGAGTTGAGTTAGCTATTACTAATAAGTTACTTGAAATATTTTGTGCACTCCTTCTTGTAGTATGCTTTCATCCCTCCTTGAGATATATCTGAGAAGGGAATGGTTAGATTATAGGGTAGGAATATATTGAACTCCATTTCAAAAAACATTTTGTTTTCCAAAGTAGCTACTAGTTTACATTCTCACCAGCTAGTTGCAACAGCTGGTGTCCTCTTCAACATTTAATGGGTTTTTTTCTATTTTACTCATTCTATTGACTATTTTATGGCAGTTTCTAATTTGCTTTCCCTTGATGTGTAAATATGTGGAGCATTCTTTCAAGTGTTTATTGAGAATCACATGTCCTTTGAAAAAGTAACTGAAAGTCTTTGCTCATTTATTTATTGAGTTCTTTGTTTTTAGTGATGATTCATGGTTCTTTATATAACCTAGGCACAAGTCCTGTCAGATATTGGGGCTGAAAATATTTTCTCCCAGTTATTCTTCATTTACTTTGCCATTTTTCAAATGTTTTTAGATGAACAGACTTTTTCCTAAATATTTTCTTTTATGATTAGTTCTTTTCTTGTTCCGTGTGGCCTATATTTTACATTTTCTTTTCCCAGCCTGTGGTGTTTTCCTAAAAACTGAATCTCTTGAAGCAAGAGTATCTGTTGCAAGATGAAATCATTTTTCTGTAATCAGTGCCTTTTCCCTTTAACATCTGGGCACCTGGACACTTCTTTAAGCATCCTTTATGGGAAACTAGGTCTATATTTCAGGCTAAAAGAGAATCAGATCTTTGTGGTTTAAGAACGTATTTGGTGAGCTCAAATGGTGGGTAAGAAAAACAAATATCCTACTTGCCAGACATTGAGTGAAGGACTCACATATATTTTTCAAAATAATGGTACAGAATCATTCATTATTGAAAGTCTAAGAATCCTTAGTTTCTGAAAAATATTTCTCACAAATATATCCCACCCCCCAATTAAATTTAAATGGTTTTCTTCCCCCTCCTTTCTTCATATTCTTTAGTCCTTCCCTTTCTTTCTACACTTAACTTGGCATAAGGCAAATTCAGAATAAAATTGCATGATTCCTATTCATTCGTTTGAAATATACTGTGTTTGGAGAGGAATTTGAAGTTATATTTTGAACTGTCTCTGGTTATAAATGTTTCTAAATAACAATGATAGCAGCCTTAGTTCCATTCTAGGAATAAATGGGAGGTATATATCTAGTAACATAGATATATATTCTTTAAATAAAGCAAAGGCATACATGATTAAATCATCACACAGTGGAATATGTGTTTGAGCAGAAACTCCTAGACTCCTAATAGGCTTCTTTTTCTTTGCAGAACTTTGTGACAATGCACTACCAGTACTCAGAAATGCCATAAGCAAAGTCTCTGCATACAAAATGGGGACCAAGTTAAACTGTCAATGCAAGAGAGGCTTCCGTAGAAAGAACAGCTTGATGCACTGTGGGGGAAACTTTAGCCATCCTTCCTGGACAAACAAATGTCAGTGTGGAAGCACTTGTAAGTACCTGATTCTATATTGAGGGAAGAACTGTCGAAATAGAGTGAGAGACAAGCTGCAGCTTTTGTTCATTCTGCCCTATGGGCCAAAATTGGCCAGTTCCATCTTATGTGATACTTAATTTTAATGGTTCCTGGAATATTCATTCACTAAAAAATATTTAATGACTGTCTCTTATTTCCGAGGAGTAGTGTAGGCACAGGGATGCCTGACCCTCAAGGTGTATATACTTGGTGTTAGGGAACACAGACATGGCACCTATAATTACTAAATAATTAAAAGATAATTATAGTTAACAGTCATCAAAATGTACTGAATGTCACTGAAGTGTGCATTTAAACATGGTCAACATGGTAAATTTTACAATATGTATAATTTATCACAATTTTTAAAATAAAGAATATGCAGAATAAGTTTATCTATATAAAGAATATAAAAAATAATAATTCAAGTAGACATCTACCTGTAAGGGTGAATGAATTCTTTTGTCTTTGATTTCCAAAGCTCACACCTCATAACATTCGTATACTAGCTAAAGAAATATATTTACCCTACTCCACCTCCAGTAACACGCCAGTGTGGATTCCTAAGAGCACCCCATTACTGTTACCCTTTAACTCTGCCCCTCTTCAGAGGTAGTCTCTGCAACCCTAAGCAAAAAGTTCTGAAAAATGGGGACGGGGGAGAAGCATTTCATCCCCAGACAGGATAAAGAGGAACAAAAGCTCTTGCTACTAAATACACAGTCTTATCGTTTACTGACAATTCTCCTTCAGGGTGCCCTGGAGGCTTTTAAGGGATTTCTTTGGGGGATGGGGAGGCAAGCACAGGAAGGGGATAGACAGTCAAGTAGAAAGCAATCTCAATCCTGGGCCATCCCCAGCCATGTAAGGAGCTGGCATTTCAGAGCATGAGGAAAATCCCCCAAAACCCCAAAGCCCCAAAAGGTTGCTGGCTCTTATTCCAAATTCCAAGCCCTTTTGGGCTGTGGGTGTGAAGAGATAAAAAAAACCCACAGGCAGGCCACAGCAGAGTGTGTGGAGGTTCCAACCCAGCATGAGGGAAGCAGGAAGACAGGGAATTTTTCTCTTGACTTCACAAGGTAGCTAGAGAGCCTGGAGGCCCTCAGTGCCAGACCTGACTGGACTCCACAGCAGGCGCAGATCCCAAACCTCATGGCTGCTGGTGAGGACAGGCGGATGGCAGAGCACAGGCTGCCCAGGAGGTGAATCACCTCCCTGAATGGAATGGACAGAATGGCTCTCAAGAAGCTTTGTAAACGTAGGTTGATCTGATACCATGAATTTGCCAATTAACTTTCTTCTTTAGTAAGAAGAAATGGGGCTCACATGAGCCCTTTTCCCAACAAGGTGTCTCACCCACTCTGTGATTAGGAGTTGGCAGACAGGTAGGGGTCATCTGTCTTTTGTCCAAACCTGGGGATGCTCTGCTGAAGCCCTACATCGGCTTTTTGTCAGGCAGAACCCCTCCCTGACTCTAAGCCAGAATTCTGCCCCACTTGTTGCCAAGATCACACTCAACTCTTTTCCCCAACTTTTCACTGTGGGAGAGGATTTTCTTGTCACTGCTTAAAAACTGCCTCTGACTTTAAGTGAACTACTATACAGAAACAAAAGACCCTGGATTGCTCTCACACATACCCCATGTACCACGTTGGCAGGGTTGATGCTGGAACAGAGTGAAGACACCCATACACAAAAAATTCCACCCCCAAAAATAATAAATCAGTTCTTTCAGAGACATCTGAACCGTTGTTACTATGCAAATGAACACTGACAGGCCAGTGCTGGACCAGGCACTGGTCCAGGGACTCATCTCAGGGTTTGTGTGAAGCTCCTCCTATAACCCAGGACCCCAATACTGCCTGGCGTGTCACAGGCACTAGAAAGATCCTCATTGAGTGGATGTATGCATGAAGAATTTTTCTATATTAAGCATTTGTAAAGTTATTTGCTTCATTTTTTTCTGTGCTCTCTAGCCTCTAAGCACACAGAAAAACAAGTTACACCAAACCCTGAACAACAGAAGGAAAGAAAAACCACAGAAATGCAAAGTCAAACGCAGCTCACAGACCAAGTCAATACTCCAGGTAAGAGGTGAATCTGAACAAAGCTTACCAGGTCCCAGAAGCCAGCTCTTCACTTGCAGGTAAAAGATGATGTTCCTAAAGGCAATTTGTCCTACCATCCTCTCCTCTGAGGACATTATGTGGATGGGGACAATGGCAGAGCACTGGAGGCTGTTAACTCAGCTTGAAATAAGCCACTCTTACAGCAGCCAACCTGGCCTCTGGGTTACTTCCTGTTTGGAGAACTGGCCAAAAAGATGTCAGCTCCACTCAATTTAATTCAACTCAATTCAAAACCCATGTGTTGGCATTAACTGTACAGGACTAACTGACAGAGGATGCAAACACAGATAGACACCAGTCCCTGCCCCCGCAAAATGCTGTGTTTCCCCCCTAAGTACTAACCAATGAACTGTAAGCAAAGCATGTATTCAAGGTGCTTCTTACAGAACAGAAGTGCAAACTAGGCCATGGTTGGTGAGTCTGGAAACTACACCACCTCCCCCTCCCCCATCCCCACCCCCAGTTAGTGGGCTGAGGGTGAGTGAGTGCTCTGGCTACTACCCAGTTGATGCCACAAGTTAAAAATGACCAATATTGAAGTCATGATGTCAGCAAGAGAGTCCTTTAGGGAAATCTCAGCCTGGGGAAACTAGCTGAATTTACAAGTCCCTATAGGCATTTGCTACCTTTAGAATCTTTGCAAGAATATTATCATACTATATACAATCTCTTTTAAATCCTCACAACCTAGTGAGTCAGAGAACAGGACTTCAACTGTCCAGAGGAATTGAGATACAGATGATAAATGCACATAATAAGACTGGAATAAGATTCCAGGTTTCCTGAAGGAGACTAGGAATCCTTCTGCTGATTACTTCTTTTAACGGTTAAAAGAAGCTTCTTCCCTCTTAACCTCAGAGCCACCAGGATGTTTATTAATATCATTGGCTTTTGAAGTATTTTATCTTATCAAATTGATTGCTGCGCAAGTGTCCAGTATTGGTTTTTGTCATTTTTGACTCATTTTGTTGTATGTAATTCTCTGAAATTCCCTCCTTGTTGTAAATGCTGCCTACCACCCTTTCTTATAACTATTATTATATATTCCATGGTGTATGTATACCACATCTTCTTCATCTAGTCATCCTTGATGGCCATTTAGGTTTCTTCCATGTCCTACTATTATAAATTCTGCTGCTATGAAATAATGGAATACATGAGGCTTCTTGGTTGATGCTTCATGTTTTGTGCCTATATCCCCAAGAGCGGGATTGCTGGGTCATAGGGGATTTTTTAAAGTAAATCCATAATGCTTTTAGTTTTTTAGTTTTTTTAAAGTAAATCCATAATGCTTTCCATAATCATTGCACCAGCTTATATTCCCAGCAGTGGGACAGGGTTCCATTTTCTCCTTTTTCTCTGCATCCTCCCCAAAACTTGTTCTCGAGGTTCTATTTAATATGTGCCGTTCTCACCAGTATGAGACAGTCTAGCACCAGCAACACCTGGAGCAGATTCTCTATGGACCTGGGCAGACTGATATTGGAGCCCTGAGTGGCTTTTTCAGGCATTTAATGATCTTTCTACACCACTTGTAGTGAGGCGACCAGTGCAGGGCAGGCGGAGAGTCCTGGGGGCAAAGAGGCTGGTAGACCTCCCAGTCTCCGGAGAACTTTCTCTCTTTCTGGGCTACTCTGCTTCACGGTCCTCGGCCACCCGGTTATATGCTCGGTCTCTGCTCAGGGGCACCCACTTACGCCTGCCCACACCGTACTCCAGGCAATGCCATCTGGCATGTGGATAAAACCACAGGCATCGTCACAGATGCTAGTGGCAGGAGGGCAGAAGAAACCTGGTCAATTCCGTTTACCCTGCAGACAGTGTCTCATTATAATTTGAATGTGCACCTCATGTGTAGCCTTCTGGAATGTGTTTTTATCTCTTACCACTTCAGCTGTTTACAGAACTGCTGTTTCAAAACATTTGATTATTATTCCCTAATTCTCTCACATTACCCTCCCCATTTACTGAAAAGTCTCTCGCGAGGTCAGCGTTTGCTGTTCTTACTCAAGAGATAACCACCTGATTCTTGCTAAGATATATCTCACAGATTTGTCTTAATTTGGATGTTTTTATTTGAAAGGAAACAAGTTCTGATAGTTGTACATTGTAATGGCTAAAAATTAGTTTTATTCTAAGACTAAAACAGAAGTTCAGTCGTGATTTGCAAGGTGCTAGCTGGTGCAGGTGGCTGAGCATGGGTCCTCTCAGCTTCCTGCTGGGTAGAGAGATGATGTGGGGCACTTGTAGAGGTTAGACTGGCTGCTTAGGGTTGTAGAAGACTGGAAGGGCAGGGTGCATGTCCAGCTTCACTCATCTGGAGTTAGGGGGTGTTCTCTGTGTCCAGTTGGGACAATTCTGAGATTAAATTAGATCAGGACATAATCTCGGGGGTTAAATATGAGTTAGGCTTGGGTTTCCACTGGGTCCATAGCAAGTTACGGGTTTGGAGAATTTTCAGAGACTTGAAAGGGTTCATGTGGGCCAAGTTGCAGGCATGGCTGGATCAGAGATCCGACTTCATTTATCCAAGATGCTCTCAAGTTCCCTTCTCCTCCCAGCTCTGGCTTTGCTCCCAGTCTTTCTGCCATGGTCCCAAGAGGCCTATAGTTACAACACAAAAATGTTCTTCCTCCCTTATGCAGTGAAGATCCAGAGTGGTCTTCATATTTCATGGGCCCAAACTGGCTTGAACCTGCCCTTATCCTGCAGCCAAGATGGCCTTTCCTGTCCTGTTCATTTATCAAAACCCTCATCATCAGAATTAATCACCCACTTCCTCTGCATTCTCCTAGCAAGCCTCTGGCTCTTCAACTGTGCTCCTTGCCACATTCTGTCTTTCTTATCTAATTGACTACCCCTCCTTGCGAGGATGGCTAATCCTTATGTCTTCCTACAAACTGCCTGGCAAAATTCCCGACACAGACCTTCACAATACATACTGGCTGAATGAAAGAAAGAATGAGCAGTGAACAAGTGAGTGACCGAGCAGGAACTAGCTTTTAGTCTCTAGGAAGAGACAAGCTAGGTCACTCCCAGCACTTTCATCAACCAGCCGTCAGCATTCTCCTTCTCTCCTCCAGGTTACTGTGGGGAGCCGCCACCGTGGGAACATGAAGACTCCAAAAGAATTTACCATTTTGTGGTGGGTCAGACAGTTGACTACCATTGTGTTCAGGGATTCAGGGCCATACTGAGAGGTCAGGCCAAGAGTGTCTGCATGGAGTCCCAGGGGAAGGCCAGGTGGACACAGCCCAAGCTTACCTGCACAATTGAAAGGAACAACAGTCTGGTTCCAGGTAGGTTGGTGCCTTGTCATACCCACTACCCTGCTTTTCCACCAAGCTGACCAGGATGGAATTCCTGACCCTCCAGCCATGTGACCTCGGGCAAACCACTTAGTCTCTTTGGATCTGTTTTTTCTCATTCCAAAAAATAGGCTAGATAACTACCCTGCATGGGGATAAACAGCAGAAGACAAGGAGGAAAGGTCTTTCAAGTACTCCAAAGTAGCTCAGTTGATACATCACTGGAGAAAATGCTGCCCGTTTTCTAGCTGATCCTGGAATTTCATTCCCCCCACTCCCCCCAACACTTCCTCTTGTTCAAGGGGAAGTCCAGTCTGCTGTCCACGCATACTACTGGTACACTGTTAGCCTGCCCCCTGTCCTTTCTAGTATGCCACTTGAGATTTGATTAAAAGTACAAATGTAGGCCCTCCCTGGTGGCGCAGCGGGTTAAAGCACAGCACTGAGAATCTAAAGCCGCTTCCTCATGAGTTCGATTCCCGCCTGCCCCGGAGGTGACCACATGGCGTGGCAGACCTCTCCTGACCCGCTCGCTGCTCCCCTCAGCAGTGTACTTCATCGATCTGCCTGTTCTGCTCCCCACTCTGTCTCTGGTGAATCCTCTCACCCTCCGCATCTCTGGCCTGTACCCCGGTTCTGTATGAATAAATAAATAAATCTAAAAAAAAAAAAGTACAAATGTAGGCCCTCCCTGGTGGCATAGCATGTTGACGCTGCACTGCAAAGCTAAATCAAGCCACGGCCGCTTCAGTGCGAGTTCGATCCCCACCTGAGCAGTGATCCACATGGCCTAGAAGACCCTCTCCTGTCTCGCCCGCTGCTCCCCTCAGCAGTGTACTTTGTTAATCTGCCTGTTCTGCTCCCCGCTCTGTCTCTAGTGGATCCTCTCATTGCCCTGCACCTCTGGTCTGTACCACAGTTCTATATGCAAATGTGCAGGAAAGGGTTTGACTGAAGCATCTATGTGTGCACACACCACACACACACTCATTCACACATACATACGGCCTGTTAAGGTCTTCTGCTATTTTCATGCCAAAAATCTTATTACTATTCCCACAATCAAAAACCACTGACATTTAACCTTAAGTGTAATTGATTTCTTTGATCACCATCATTTCCCATTTCCCACGTCTTCCTCTTGCATTCTTTGGGGTTGTTGTTTCTCCCACCATCTCCCCCCATCCCCTATTGGCATGATCCATACTGATGGTCAGGGCAACCTTCCTAAAATGTTGATGAGAAAGGAGGAAAGGAGAATCTGTCACAGGGAAAAGTCATCTTTCTGTGCATGTCTACTTCTTTTCATAGTTCAGTTGTATCAGCATGACCCATTTCCAGGGCACACATGGAAAACACAAAGAGTTGCTCAGAATTCCATGGAAAGCCAGGGTCAGGATTCAGATCCCTTTTCATCCTGTTCTGCTTTCCTGAGAGCCCAATCCAGAGCCACATAACATGGTGTCCTCAGATGCAGGATGAGAAGCAAGATTCACACCTCAGCTGTTGTCCAGGGGGGGGGGGGGGGGGGGTGAGACTACCCCCCACCCCAACTTCAAGTTCCACAAGCAGCACTTCTTTCCCCCAGGTGATGAAGAGTCTCAAGTCAGCACCGATGATCCTCTTGGGACCACAGATGCTACAAGTATGACAGGTATGGCTTGAGTTTCTAGACATATAAAATCTTGCATTCAATCATAATGCAAGAAAAGAATGACAGTTTGATAGGAGCAACCCTCCAGCAGATGGTCTAAGATGGCCCAGTTGGTGTTAAAGACAATCCCACATTGATCCCCAGTCACCAAAGCTTCTGTGAGGAAGAGTGGCCCAAGCCCAAGGATGGCATAAGACAGAAGGACGAGTCTTGCCAGGCTGGCCCTGTTCTCTCACACCTTTCCATCAGCCTCAATCATTCCTTCCAGCACTGAAGAAGTGCTAACTCTCCCCCACTTGGTGTGGTTGATGATTAGCATACTCTGAACATCTTCTGTTTCCTCTTTTGTACAGATTTTCAAAAACAGACAGAAGTGGCTGCAACCATGGAGACCTTCATCTATACCACTGAGTATGGTACTGATAACACTGAGTATCAGCTAACAGGTGGGTCGGGGCCACTCTCTGCTGGACAAACATACAAACATACACCAAGCAGACTGTGGAGCACAGTTAGGTAATTTAAAATGACCCCCCCTACTATTTAATGTTCGTGAGACTAAAAGATTAATCTAGACAATAAACATAACGCAAAGATACAGCATCAGTTAAGGTACATTATGAGTGGTCGCAAACCAGGAAGAACAGCACCTCCTAGCGGATCCTAAGTGACAAAACATCCACGCCTGTGCGTGAGGGAAGGTGGTGGAGGAGGGAGATGGAATCGCCAGGGAAGGAAAAGCACTCCATAAACTCGGCTCTTAGAAACAGAAAGTGCTGGTGACAAGGGCCAACGGTGGGGTGAGGGGTCTAGGAAATGGGGTGATATGCTCAAAAGGCCCAAAATTCCCGTTGTAAAATGAATGGGTTCTGGAAAGCCAGTGTACAGCCTGGTGCTTGTAGCGAACAGTGATGTATTATGCATTTGAAAATTTCTAAGCAGTGGATTACATTTTCCCACCTCAAAAAGAAAATGGTAATTATGTGATTCGATGAAGATGCTAGTGAACACTAGTGGTAATTATTTTACAATATAGAAATGTCTCAAATCAACACTTTAAACTTATACAATGTTATATGTTGAATATTTCTAATGAAACTAGGGGGAAAATAGAAATAGACTTTGAAATGACATCTAAATAGATACATGAAGTAGATAAAGGGTGGATACATGCATATGCTAATGTGCTTCTCATTTGCCTTTATATTTCAACATTTCTTTTACTCTTCACTGAGGTCTGGCCTTGGAACCTTTCTGAAGAACATGCCTGTCAGTTGGCTTCTGCAGACAGAATGGAGCCTTAAGGAAAGGCGCCATGTCCCTTCAGTCACATTTGCAAGGCCTTAGCCCTAGTTCCTTGAGCCTTTGGGTGGGGAGGAACCAGCCTTCTGAGAAGGGAATACAGACGTGGCAGCACTCCTCAGGAAACCCTAGCTCTGGGATCTAGCTGGGGCACCTTTGCTGAATCTCTTCTCTGTTGACAGTGGCCGGCTATGTTCTCCTGCTCCTCATCATCCTCTTGCTGAGTGGAGCCACGTGGCAGTGGAGATGGTGAGTCCATATCATCAAGAAAGCTCTTGCCCAAGCGGAGGCCAGCCCCACCCCGCTCACCTAGAGTCCTGAGCAGTTCCAAGAGTAAGGGGAGGAGCATCTGTCAACCCATGTATCCCCAAAGGGCTGTTCAACAAGAGTAAAGCCACAGGGGTTGGGTGAACGAAGGAAACCAACACTGGCTGAGCACCTACTGCCTGCCAGGCTCCATTCTGATCTGACATACTTTACCACCATCGCCCCAGGTCCCCACTTTCCCTATCCCCTCAGGACCACAACTCCACCTTCAGTCATTCTGAATTTGTCTGTTCTGGACATTTCATTTAAATGGAATGTACAATATATGACCTTTTGTGTCGGGACATTAGTACTTTTTTAAATGTTCTTCCAATTCATCTAACATATATCTAGTTTTGACAACTCACCACAGTGTCCATGGATCTCAAGTTTGCATAAGCATCACAACTCCCCCCCCCCCCCCCCACCGTGGGCTTGTTAAAGCACAGACTTCCAGCACTAACAGGTCTGGGGTGGGGGTCAGAGAATTTACATTTCTAACAAATTCCCAGGAGATACTGATGTTGCCTTTCCAGGGACCAAACATTGAGAACTCCTGCATTAGATCAACAGTATCAAGAAGCAAGCGAATAAAGCCACTTCACAACACACACACAAGCACAGTGTCTCCCTCCTTTTAGGCAGTACCTTAAAGAGATCTCCGCTGTCTGTCTGGGCTCTCCAGAACATCCCCTTACCCCAGCAACATTCACTTTGGCCAACCTGATATAAACTCCCCAGTAAAACACAGCTCTACTCCCCCTAAACCAAAGCTAGAGATAGTCCAGGCAGAGACATGGACCCACTGAGCAATGACCACCTTTTAGTGCTCATCAGGCCCTTCACAGATTTCTGGTTTTCCTCAAGTGAACTATGAAGTACAAATTCATCTACAGTGTTAACTTATGCCTGTGGGGTTACTTGAGGGTTAAATGAGGGTTTAAATATCAACTGTCCAGTACATTACACATCCTCAATACTGGTTAGATCCTCTCCTTTCCTTGCTGACAAGGCTTGGTATTTATTAAGAACTCTTCATTTGGTAGCTTAACAAACAAAACCTTCAGATCCAAAAGGACAACAGTTTGGGGATGGCTACAATGTAGACTTTATATTGTGAAACAAAAATATATTTCTGAAACTATATGAATTCTAATGAAATCTCCAAATCTTCCAGGAGACATAAACATAAATCTGAGCATGACTCTTCAGTCAATTCCAAAGCTTTCTTAGAATCTAATTACATTTGATGGTCGCCCTCTTGTGGTCAAAGCAAACTCTACATTTGTTTTGTTTTTGCATTTTGGAGACTCCTGAGAGCCAAAAATTTTCCAGCAATTTTGTAAACTGTTTTTAAGTACAGTCATGACTAAATATATCAATTTAAAGTTAAATAAATTTATATTAAAAGCAAAGCTAATGAATACATAAAATTAATCACTTTCTAATTATTTTACTGTACTTTCTTTGATCTCCTGGTTACTTACACCTATTGCATCTGTATTGAGGAAGTCCTGTGTTGTGTTTTGTCACTGTGCGCCTCTTCCTTTGTCTATATTCAGTGATGACACGTTAGTAGCTCGACATTGGACACAGTGAGAATATTTACACCATGGAAATAAGCAGACTCTTACAGAGAGCTGGTTATTAACTTTTACCGGCACACTGCTTTTCATAGTCTTGCCCCATGGGTGCTCTGAACAAGGTAGTAAGCCCACAATCTCCTGTGGGCTAAGTGAGGGCTGCAGAACTGTATATTCAGTAAGGCAGCCACTAGCCACATGCGGGTATTTAAGGTTAAACTTAAATACAGTAAATGCAATTAAAAATTCAGTCCCTGCATCGCACTAGCCACATTGCAAGTGTTCAATGGCCACGTGTATTTACCTTATTGGACAGCACAGATGCAAAATACCAATATTTCCATCATCACAGGGAGTTTTTATGGAAGATGCTAGCTGGATTTAGGAGTTTTCAATTCACAAAAGTTGAACTTAACATAGTTAGTTGCTGTCCTGATATTTCTATTCTGCAGTTACTGTCTTCCACAGAGTGACAAACACTCATAAAACATGTCCCGTGTAGATACCAAAGCGTACAGACTTAGAACTAGAAGATGAAAAGTTCTGGAGGATATGTACAGTGTCATGATTACTGCTACAATACCACTATTTTTTTTAAGATTTATTTGTTTATGCATACAGAACTGGGGTACAGGCCAGAGGTGCAGGGGCAGTGAGGGGACTCACCAGAGACAGA